CCAGCTGCCCATTGAAAATTGCCTGAAAGCTTCAGGAAGGAGAAATGGAAAGAATTCTCTTTGTGTCTCATCACATGAAACTTGAAAACTGGAAAAACTTAATCCTGTGCCTTTTTAACAAAACTCTGGTTTAGCAGCAACAGATTATTTTCGTAAAGATTGTTGATAGAGTTTCTCTGAGATCTCACTTCGATCTTTTTATGATTTATTTTTTTTTATTTGAAGTCCAGCCATTTGCATCATATCCTTCTGAGGAACTGACCTGATAGATATACCCTTGAAAACGTTCCCCAATGCTACTGAGGAGCTGAAGTCCTTTTTCCAGCCATGTTTAGGCATATGTTCGCATCTTACATGTATTCGTTATGAACAGATTAAGTATCTTGTTTACCATGTTCTACCAAATACTTTTTTTTTTTTTTTTTGCTATAATGGAGAAGGGTCATCTGTGGTTAATTGGTAACTATTATTTCAGGTGTCTTATGGACTAGGAGAGCGCTCTCAAGGGCCTTTGGTTAGGGAAATGGGTGATTCAGAGCATCTGCCTAGGCTAATGCTCTGATCAGAGGTCTAGAGAAGCTCGTCTTCTCAATACAGAGGCAGCCTCAGAAAAGTAATCTCCTGCACAAGGAATTAGCCATTGGGGATGCTTTCTCCATGGTCCCAGATTTCCCTTGTGCTGCCTGCTTTCAAGTCCTTTCCAGTCCTGCACCCAGTCAAATTTCCTGCTCCCTCTGTGTCTGTTGTTTGGCCATTTGTTTTGAATTTAGGTATCTTTAATGAGTCTCTCTTGTGCGTTAGAAACTGGTCGCTGTGAAGAACAACGTTAAAATTTCTTGCTCTGTCCTCTTTAAAACGGGATTGAACATTTCTGTTGGCTGAACAGGTGAGGACATGCTTGCACGCTGTGACTCTCGGTCCATCACAGCACCGAACCTCCCTGCCTTGCCTGTTGTTTCTCAGCCTGCTCAAAATGCGCTTTTCATTCATTTGTGAGTGGTTTATAACTGTCAGCCAGAAGCCTCACAAATGCAAAAATTCTAGCAGGTACCTTTAAAAACTTGTTTCTGAACTGGCATTCTGTGCTGATTCAGTCCTTCTAGACTTCTCTTTGTGTTTTAGAGCTCCAGTGCAGAGCGCAGTGTTCATTTTTTTTTCTGTTGTGTTTCAAATGCATTTCTCACTTTCTGACTTAAGTAACTATTAGTTGAAAAATATGTGGCAAAGGTACTTCTATATCTATACCTTCTATACTTCTATGTTTTCTCTAAATATTCCCTGTTTACAGTGTGTTTTCCTTTTTCTTACTCAGGTCAAGCCTGTTGTTCCGTGGGCTCTTTTCTTCCATACTAATTGCTATGTGTTTATTGCATCTGTCTGGCCTTTATGTCCGTCAGTGCTCTCTGAATCTTTTCTAGCTTTTTCCTTTGCTTTTACTTTTTTAGCTTGTGCCATTAGAAACTGAAAAACCCTAATTCCTGCCGGTTGCATAAGCAGCAAGCGCAGACCTCAGCGATGCGTGACTGAATCCTGCTGGGGCTTACTGGAAAGGCGCTCTTTTTGTTTGGGGTGCCGCGCTGGTGTTGCTGTCGCTTTGTGCCGCTGGCTCGCTCTGTGCAGTTCGAGATTGAAACTCTGACGCTTTATCTAGGATTTAAAAAGCAAATGGAGCATCACACTGACCTATTTCAGCCTTCTTGTTTTGCAAATGTGCTTTTGGAACTGCCCCTGCTGTACTCCTGCAGGGCTACGGACAGACTGCAGTGGGGGTGTTCAGCCTGGGATCCCCTGCAGAAGCGGGCAGCAAGCAACCCATGGTACAGAAAAAGCCTGACTTCTAATTGTGCGTGAGACTCAGGTGAGTATTGCTTGTTACTTTGAAATAATTTGTGCCCTTAAGTGTGCGCAAGGTGATCTGAAGGGCAAAACAATTGAAAATATGAAAAGCGCTTTAACCGAAATACTTACCTTGATCAACATTAGAATGCACTGACGACACAAATTGTAACGACCTCTCCTAATACAGAGCAGTGATATCCCCAGGTGTGTGATACCAGAGCAGATCAAGCTCTTCTCTGCTTATCTGCCTAAAGTACGCTGGTAGTAAAAATAGGTGGGCTGAGATGTGTGGATAGACACGTGTCAGCGCTTAGGCCAGGAAGAACATCTGACCGGCCTCAAGTGGCGATGGTTTTCACGCAGAATAGCTGGCTTCTGCTGAGGTGTAAGCACTGCCTAAAGCTCACTAGCTCTTGAAGTTTGCATGAGAAGCCACGAAAGCAGTTAATGAAGCAACCATGAAGGCAGGGCAGAAGCAGTGCTGGCTCAGAAGGCCCCTTTGCACTTGGAGAAAGAGCCCCAACTTTGGAAGTGGCTGGAAAGGGGACATGGAAGCGGCGTCGGCAGGAGGCAATGGCTGGGAGCAGCCCGGGGAGCAAGGGGCAGACCTCCGGCACGTCAGCAATGGCCTCTTGCCGCAGCTGCTGGTTTGCAGATGTGCCCTGGCTCAGCCGTTCAGTATCGCGTCTTTGAAGTCAAACAGCATGAAAGCTATTAAATGAAAACGCATGTTATTGAGACCAGTGTGTATTAATTGCAGGAGCTGCCCAGCCAGTCTGTTATTTTGCTAACTTTGTTTTGCTCTTCATCTAGCTGATGATGTCTGGGCTTTCTGGTAAGGTGCAAGCTTTGTTTTTTATTTCAGTCCAGCTGCGGAGTTTCCAATGACCGGCGAAGTAACTGGCCTCAGGCTGGTGGTCTGCACAGGAGCAACCGTCACCATCGCCCCGCCTGGAAAGAAGAGTCCCTGCGTGGCAGCTACAACACAGCGATAGTTGGACTCCCGTGCTGCACTCACTCTCGCTGCTCTCGCTCCAGCTCTGCCTGCAAGTGTTTTATTCCTGCCTGTCGTACGCGAAATCCACGATGGCTGGTTCCACTTGCAGCGGCACAGCAGCGAAGCCTGTGGCTGGGTAAAGTGGCTGGGAAGCTGAGCAGCTTCCCACACTGTGGCTGTGCTGGCGGGCTGGTGCTTTGTCGGGGGTCTCGCTGCTGTCCTGCCCGGAAGAACAAGAACAAACCTTTTGTTCTCCGGCTGGCCGCGTGCCGGCGTAATGGGCTTCGGTAATAGGAGCACTATGGGCACAGTGAGAAAAGACTACTTTTCTTGCTGCTATGGTAAGGCCGTGAAGGAGAACTAGATATATAATTAAAACTCCAAATGAATTTCAATGTTGGGAAACAATACCCCAACCAGGTGGGCAGTGCGTCTTTCCTAGAAGGCTGCATTTAAAATGTGGTCTTTCGGGTCTTGTGCTATTTGCCATGCCGGCTGCAGGCTGGGAGGGAAGAGAGGCCGGGCTTCCAAGCGAGGAACGGGCAGCATCAGCAGCAGTTTCTCCTAGACCCGGTGTAACACTGAAGTATGAACAACCAGACTTTGCATGACGTGGCAGGAGGGATCTGCACAAGGAGCAGTGGCACCCGGGTTCCCTCAGCAGCCGGCACAGCCAGCTCTGCGACTGCTGTCCTGCGCAGCTCACGTATGGCTCCAGAGATGGGTCACGGAGGCAGATGCTCTGTTCTTCTCGGTCTTCCTGCAACAAAATACCTCAACGACTGCCCCCACCATACAAGCTCCAGCTTCTTTTAAGGCTGTTTCACAGAGAGAAGAAACATACTTCTGTCTGCTCTCATGCTATAGTCTCGTAGCAGAAAGTTTAGCTGGCAGCTGAAAATAAAGGCAATGCAAGAAATATAAGAATAAAATAAGTTTATTAGAGCTATTTTACATGAACCATTTGTACACCATGGCTGACTCGAAGTTACTGAAGTACAAAAGACGACATACAAAAAGATGCATGCCTCATTTGCCTCTGGTTTTATTGGGACCGTGATGAATGGGACATCCTTGGACAGTCGAACAAGATAGACAGCACGGTGTGTATGTTTATATACGTATATATAACATGTACTGTACACGTTTTACCGTTAACACATCTGAAGTTCACTCACACATATCAATTACTTGCTCTAATTCTATGAGAATTTCGCTGGGACGGGGCAGGTTGCTGAAGCTTTCAAGCTTTGCAGGGAGCTGTGGGATAACCAGCAGGAATCCTGCGCTCCGGCGTCTCAGGCAGAAGCCGCTGCGTGCTGCTCTCACACGCCGTGGAGGGGGTCAAGCTAGGGCTGGAAAAAGCTGGACAAGCCCTGAGCTCCGGGGGCAGATGTAGCTCCAGGATTGCACACGGCTGCTGTTGAGTGCTGGCAAGTCCAAACTCATCTGCTGAGGGCTTGTATTTCTTCATTGTAGCATTTAGTAAGCGTGACTCTGTGAGCTGCACATAGGTTTGAACTATGAATGAAAAAAAGACGCTTTGTTCCTTATATCCCAAATTTCGTTAGAAAAGCTGGTGCTTAGATACCGACTGCTTGTCATTAACAAAGCAAGACAAATTCTTTAACGAGAACACTCCCAGTGCATCGGGTGGAAAGTCCACAGGTCAGGCTCTGCTGGTCAGCGAAGCCACGTGTTAGTCTGGAGCGTCCTGGTCCCTGGAGTGGAGCACAGTGGTGGCAGCGCTAAGAAGAGCAGGGTGGCACGGGCTTCCCCCGGCGCCTCAGCCAGCGTGGCCGGGGCTGCTGGGCCTTGGCTGCTCCAGTGCCCTGGCCCCAGTCACGCTCTGCCGCAGCCAGGACCCTGACTGCTGCGGTGAGGGCAAGGGCACCCCGGGCCCAGTGCAGGGGGTCCCCACCTTGCAGGGTCTTCTGTGCAAGAGCCAACTGGAGCTACTGTCCAGAGCCTGAACGCTTCTTATTTTCTGAGCATGGGCATCTACCCACTTCTTTATTTTATCACCGAAGGGGAAGAACATGTTCCTCATCTCGTATGCTTCTTCTACATTTGAAACTCAACTAAAGGTTTTGGTCCTGTTGTAGAGGCAGAGGTTCATGGACACAGAAGAAAGGGGAGAAAACAACTGACCTAAATCCAATTTTTAGAGATACATCCCATTAATGAGGTAATCGGACTCTTCGGATGTAATGGGTCGAGCTTTTTTAAGCTTCTGTCTCACTAAACGCAGTCTGCAAGCAACCATAAGCAGCAGTAAAGCAGTGATGGCCAAGCCTAAGGCTAAGGGTAACACAGCACCTACAACGAGGTTAAGAGAAATTACACTTTATTTCATATGGTGAGAAATTGGTAGAGAAAACCTTAAATTATTTTTTTTCAAATGTACAGCTAGTCTATCAGTTAGGTGCTAATAGTTGGAGCAACTCATGCTGAGAAACTAAACTGTATGATCATACATGTTCAGAATATAGAAGTATGTTATTCAGTTCTTGACTAGAGTATCTGGATCTATAGCACCTGACTGAAAAACTAACATCATTCAAAATGAATTCACATGGTCAGTCTTACCTGTTTCTGGGACTGGACGGCCACCTCCAAGCTGATCTCTCTTCGGCACAGTTATGCCATTCCCGTTTTTATCATCTGTTCTTTTCCCTGAGGAACTGTTATCTGCACAAAGTCAAGCAAGATAAACGAATATTGCAGTTCAGTGGCTCAGGAAGTCTTATCCACAGGACACTAGAATTAAATAATGTGAAAGCATTTATGCTTAGGAAAAAAACCCCCAACTAGTTTAAGAACTGACTCCTACTGTATAACTTGAATTTTGAAATAATGTGAAACTAAAGCTAAAATGTAAATTCAATTTTGCATAGCAAACCACAATGCATCTCAACCAAACCCAAGTGGGTCATTTTCCACCGAAAAAAGACAGATATAAATTCTCTTTGATAAACTCCCATAATGGGGTGTAGACCAATCTGAGCTAAAACCTTACTAACACCGTTATATAGGTGAAAATGAGGCCATTTCGAGTTATGTTAATCAACAGTGCACAATGCTACAGGCTCGGGGAGGAGTGGCTGGAAAGCTGCCCGGCGGAAAAGGACCTTGGGGTGCTGGTTGACAGCTGTCTGAACATGAGCCAGCAGTGTGCCCAGGTGGCCAAGGCGGCCAACGGCATCCTGGCTTGTATCAGGAATGGTGTGGTCAGCAGGAGTAGGGAGGTGATTGTGCCCCTGTACTCGGCACTCATGAGGCGGCACCTTGAGTAATGTGTTCAGTTTTGGGCCCCTCACCACAAGAAGGACACTGAGGTGCTGGAGCATGTCGCGAAGGGCAGCAAGGCTGGTGGAGGGTCTAGAGCACAAGTCTTGTGAGGAGCGGCTGAGGGAGCTGGGGCTGTTTAGTCTGGAGAAAAGGAGGCTGAGGGGAGACCTTACCGCTCTCTACAACTGCCTGAAAGGAGGCTGTAGTGAGGCAGGTGTTGGTCTCTTCTCCCAAATAACTAGGGATAGGACAAGAGGCAATGGCCTCAAGTTGAGTCAGGAGAGGTTCAGATTGGATATTAGGAAAAATTTCTTTACTGAAAGAGTGGTCAGACATTGGAACAGGCTGCCCAGGGAGGTGGTGGAGTCACCATCCCTGGAAGTGTTTAAAAAACGTGTAGATGTGGCACTTTGGGACATGGTTTAGCAGGCATGGTGGTGCTGGGTTGACGGTTGGACTTGATGATATTAGAGGTCATTTCCAACTTTAGTGATTCTATGATTCTATGATGTCCACCCTTGGAACTTGTAAAGTGGGAAATGCATAAGCTGGCTACACAAATCTGTTACCAGCCACATATAGATGCAGAACTTATGTACTTGGAAGACATAAAAATAAGTGAGGAAAACATTTCAGAGGATGACTTGGAGCCACCTCAACTTTGTGTAGTACAGACGATGTAGCAGAGCACTGTAACTACACAAGAAGAGACAATGCATAGTTTGCTGCCAAGAAGCGTTTGTCTTCTGAGTGCAGGCGGCTGCAGTCTTGCTTCACAGGAGCAAAGAATAACTCAGCTGGGACTCCCTCCTCTTACCCTCCCACTGAAGTCCTATACCAGTAGCTATGGGGATGCTTCGTGCAAGAGCAACAGCTTAACCCACCCACATACCTTCGCAAAAATCAGAAATATGACTGTGTTTTAAAATGTAATGACTATATTTGTTTTTTACTGATAAATATTGAAGGGCACTTTGACTGTGCTGTGATATATTTGCTGGCAGCCCTCGGAACTGTGACGATGCCAGTGCAAACATACTATGCCACAAGATCTGTGAAACAGGAATATGAAATGTTGTAACTGGCATTACATATAGTGGTGGGTGTGAAGGAAGTGTTTAAGTCAATTAGCTTGGATCATGCACCACGCACAACTCCCACCCACCACCACCAGCTCCGAAGCACTGCAGAACGTGTCCCTGTCAGTGGCAGCAGCAAATACACACGACCATTAATTAGACCTTAAATTGTTTCACCGATGCTGGCATGAGGTTAGCGCTGATGTCCTCACTCTAAGGCACACACAGCCTCCCAGGCTCTGGCTTTACTGCCCTGCCATTGTGCCTAGGGGTGCATCAACGCTACCTTCACCTGCTAGGAAATGCCTTCGAAACAAGCCGCAGCCCCCCTTCCCATTCGCGTTCTTTAAGTTGTTCTGGCATGTAAAGGAGACTTCAGGAAATCCCAAGTGTAAACCATAGCGGCTTTAAGGTACCTGTATGGTGTCAGAGCTGTGCAAAATAATCTGAACGTAAATGAGACCAAAAGCAGCAGCTGTTTTCTGCTTCTGTCTTCCCTAAATTAAATTAAATGAATATTTGTCTTTGTTTTGGAAATACCCAAAAGACATCGGCTCTTCTTAGAGCTGCTGCAGCCTGCATGACAAGGCTAGATCTGAATGCCTCTTGTAGAAATTTGTTTCCCTGCCATTTCAGTAAAGGGAATATTTAAGTCCACTGCTTGTAAAGACATTTGGCAAATACATTGGGAGAGAAGTTTAGTGGCAAAACTTGGGAAGGGTAGAAGAAGAACAGAATCTTTTCAATAAAGCTGGTAGGGTTTTGTTAAGGCTTGTGGCTGTTCTTAGAGGGCTGGAGGGGCTGTCAGAGTCAATGCTCCTCAACATCCTATCTGTTCTCAACTAGAAAATAAAGCGAGATTTCCCCAGACAGGTTTAGGAGCCTGACATAAAGCACGTTAGGTGGGTTTCGTTTTGTTTTCGCTTTCTAGTCCATGCCTGGGAAACTGCAATTTCTAGCCCTTTCCAGTTACCCTCAATTAGAGATTTAGGTTATGGCTCCTGCTGTCGATGCCTCCGCAGCAAAAGCATGACTAAGGCTTGGGCGCTCGGTCGAACGCTGTAATTCCAGCCCAGAGCAGTACTGCACAACAGCAGGCGTGGGCAGCCCGGGGAGAGGCGGAGAGCCCATGCCAGGGGAACGCAAAGCTGCTACGGTGATTTACACACTCGAGCTGGCTGTGCTGGGGAGCACAGATCTTCAGGCTGCTTGCGAAGTCAACCCGTCTGCGCGACCGTGTTTGCCGGACTGGCCACTGCTGCCTAGAAACCAGCCCACTGCTTGCCCCAGTGCGCTTTGCTGCAACGACGTCTTTGTGCTATGCGTTCGCAAGAGCAGCGGTGCCAGAACAGGCAGCTGGGCTTGAGAGCTTCCCTGCAAAAGGGCGCCGGGGCACTTCGGAGGCAGCCACGCAGAAACGCCGCGCGGGCCTTTGGAGGAGATGCGGCCTGGGCTGCTTCCCTTCGGAGAGATGTCTGCAAAGGGAAAGGACTCCTCTACTGACACCTGATGCCTCTTCCTGCATCCGCTCCCAAATACCGAAGAAAATGTTTGTCCTCCCAGCTTGGGCAAAAGTAAACGACGCGTCTGTCGCAGCAGGCTCCGTGCCCAGAGTGCCTGAGGAGGTCATCCCTAAGTCAGACCTGGTGTTCCCCTGGAGGCACCCTGCTGCAGAGGAATCCTGCTGGAAAGGCAGGAGTGCAGAGCAAGATTCACCCGTTGTCAACAATGAATGAGGTTTGGGCGTTTTTTGGGGTTGGTCTTTTTCTCCCCCTCTTCATTGCGAATAGATCCTCTGCAAGGTCAGGTAGAAGTTTTAAACAGGCCTTGCCTGGGACTTGCATGTTTTCACATTTTCATACATAAATGTAAATCCTTAAAACACTTGTATCAAGTCAGAGTCAAGCATGAGGGGCTCCTGGAGTAAAGAAAGCAGGTTAAGGGAAATCTGAGGCAGAGAAACTGTAAGGAGAAAATGGATCCTGGGACAAATTTCCCCTTGTACTACCCTCATG